CCTCCACTTGAAAGACTAATATTTTGTCAGTATTTTTTTTTTCAAATGTGAATGGAAAGAATTGTATTTAATTCCTGTGTGAGAGATTTTGATTGTGTCTGTCTTGCCCTTTTGTAATCTTTAGATGTTACTATTCCAAATAAATGGTATAGGTATTTCATACACATAAGTTTTACAAATGGCTTACTTTGCACAGTAAAATAAAGTCCCACATTTCAGTGCACTTTACATTTCCACTCTTTTGGCCCTCAATATTTCTAGATATTGAGCATGGTTCTAAAACACTTCTGTAATATGTCTTGGGGGATTCTTCTGAAAAGAAGTTGCAGAATATGTCTGATTATTGTCATTGCTTCCAAGAAAAATGGTTGTACTTCACTGAAGAATCTGTCAAATCAAAGCTAGAAAGGATGCTATCGTGGTGTATGTTAACTTGTATGACTAATGTTGCAAGTGCAATTTAGATGACATTTCACCGACCACAAAACATTCACTATTTGCTAATTACAACTAGCAGGTTCTTAGCAGGCTGATATTTTTAATTAGAACTTATACACTAGGATTTGACTTAGTTTGGGGTTTTTTTAAAATATGTTTGGAAGTTGGACAGTGCCCTCTGCTGGACTTAGGCTCCCATAGCTGTAGTTTGCAAAGTGCCCCAAATGTTGTCAATTAGTGAAAATGAACACAAAGTCAGTGTTGCTCTGCAGAAGGGATTTGCTGGTTTCGAGGAAGTATACTTTGTTTTAGTCCCTTCTTGCATTCTGCTCTACGTGGAAGCATACTGTGCAACAAAAATTGGTCTCATTTTAGATGGCAAAGAACTTTTGACTAATTTAGTTTGAACCCTGTTGGCTAGGACTGACAGTGAGACTTTATCACAGTGAGCAGCAGGAACATGTAGTGCTAGGTATTCCAATTTTTGAAAAAATAAACTCAATACAGTAAGAGCATATTCATCTTCAGAAATAGGGGTGATGAAGAAATATGCAGTTGAACTTACTTTTTCGTCTTTAAGACTTACATGTCTTTATTGCATTATTTCGCAGTTTAAGAAGTTATACTTAGAAGTCAAAAGTGTAATTTTTCTTTTTATCCCTTCTTTAAGGTATTTGGATTTTTTTTTTTTTTTGAAGGGTGGTTATAAAAATAGCAACACTACCAGTTTCTCTTAATAATTCTAATCTCATGCCTTTGGACTTTCCCAGGGTCCATTAAACAAAAAACAAACAAACAAACAAACCCCAAAAACAAAAGTAAAAAAAAACAAAACCACAAAAAAAAAACCCCAGACAAAACAAAAACAAAATCAAACTCAAAAACCAAACAAAAAAACCCCATGACAAACAAAAACCCAAGAACAAACAAAACCAAAACAAAGCCATTTACCCAGGATGTAACTTTAATTTGCAATGTCTCATAGCAAAAGAGACAGAGAGAGATGAATTTCCCTAGTAACTTAATTGAAAATGTTTAGTGAATTTACAATATGAATTTAAAATCCTTCAAAGATAGACTATAAAACTGTAATAATTCAGCATTTACAGGAAAATCGAAATTAGTAGCATTGAAAGCATTACATATCCATTCATGAAACTTTTATGGGTTTTAAATTGCTTCTCTAGTTTTTCTCAGCACAGAAAACACATGGAGGGAAATAGCTGCATAGGGTTAGCTGCGAGTGATTTCTATTAATTGATCAGCAAGTTGTTTTATACATTAGCTTAAAGACGATACAAAGCAGCTCTTGTGTTTATTATGTGTTGCATGTTTTCTAAAAATCTGCAGACTTCTTAAAAAGCAGATTGCCCGTGCAGAGCAGCTGTTCTGTGTCAAAATATGCATCATCTCTCTGCTCACTTCAGAGGTGCACTTCTAGGGAAAAATGCAGCCCATCCTCCAGCACACACTCACTCACTCACTCACTCTCATGACAGCAGCTCTGGAGTAGAGATGAAGATGTGCTCCCAGAATACTCTGTCCACTCATAATATTGCCCTTCTGTCAGCCTTTATTTACATATGCCTGCAGCTGTGAACCTCTTTGCTTCACCAAGTGAGCTCCATGCCCTCTGCAAGGAGCTGTGAGCTCTGAAGTGACAGACCTCCACATTAATGGTCACAGTTGGTCATTAGCTTTTCACTGTATCTTTCTTGATGTCCTGTTAATGAACTCCCTGCTGGCTTGTTGTGAAGATTGGTCAAGGTAAACAGTACTGGTAATTTATAGCTGAACCCCCGGCAGGCAAACAGCCTCCACTGAGTAACTGCAATCAACACAGTACTACTGAGTGGCAACACGTTCTTCCTAATTTATTTCTCAGTTGTAACTATTTCATGTTGAAAGGAAGCTTTGGATTCTATGTCGAAAAATGTGTTTACATATTTTATTTGGGGGTGAGAGGAATTTCTTTAAGAATTTAATAAGGAAAACAGCCTTTTTATTTTTGGCATATTTTTACCCTTCACAGAGCATGTTTTCTTAAAAAACACATTATGCACATGAAATTCACCTCTAAAAGGCTCAGAAGCCCTCTCAGTTACAAAAATTAGCTCTCAGGTGGTCCCTGTTAGATGCAGGAGCCTGGAGAGCTTTAATGGTTCAGCACCTGTGGTGTCTAATCTCTGTGAATCATGGATAAATTGGCCAGAAGTTACAGACCCTCTAGCTGTGATCTTGCTAGCTCTTAAAAGCTATAAAGTTTCAGCCGGGTCCTGGCTTGGTAGGAAAGCTCTGGAAAAAGCCCAAGAAGTGGCAGTGATGCATTAGGTAGCACTCTTCTCTTTAAGACTGGTAGATAGTGTCATAGGGGTTATCCAGTTATCACAGGATCCTACCTTGGCTTTAGATGGGCAGGTACCTTTCCCCATTTCAAGAGTGAACAGATTCCACAGTGGCCAAGACTTTAAGGTTTTATATTTTCATTTTCACTAGTTCAAGTATCATAATTTTGATGCAAAGCAAACAAAAATAAAAGGTGGTATATATATCTGCAATGAAACTGCCATATGAAACTGGCTTTGCATGTCCTGGGCAAGAAAATTTATCATGTTCTATTACAGGTTTTCGTGCACTTGACGCGGATTAAGCGGTGTCCCGATGATCATCTCATTTCCTGCAAATGGCTTCAAGATTGTAAAAATCTTTCCCCCCAGTGCTTCCAAATGGCACTTCTTGAGCTGTGTAGAGATTAAGTAGTTGAGTTTCCAGAAAGGTGTCCAGACCATTGCTCCCTGACGTGTGGAAATAGGAGCTATGGTTGTCTCTAGAAAGACAGTTTTTGCCTTCTCATTGAAGTTACTCACCTTACATTTGGTAACTTTGCTCTAAATTATATGAGATTATAAAAATTTCTCATTATTTAGAGATTCTATTTCATACTCTTTGATTACAAAAGAGATCCTTCTCTCCATCCTGGTTTCAAGTACTGGGATACTCCTGTTTCCTTAGCAGGTACTGCTGACAAAGCATGCGGCTCCAAACAAAACTTTGTGAAATTACTAAAAGCAACCAAGTTCTTAAACAGCTTGTGAAAGCAGCACAGATGGTACTTGCTTGATGTTGCCCATCTTGAACAAACATTTAATTCTGCACCTTTTATGGTGTGGATGTGAGAGTTCGAGACAGAGGAGTCATATGCTTTTACAGAAAACCATAAATCATTTCATATAAACAAGACATATATTTAATAATTGCTCATCTTGTTATGTAGCATCCTGCATTTGTTTCCATGCTAAAAAGTAAATAAGATGTTCAAATATTAATGTCATATGTTTGAGAAGGACCAGGTCCTGACCCAAAAGAGTGTATTTTTAAGGAAATTAATTGAACCCAGATGGTCTTACGGCATCTTGATGCAGAATGAAGTAGTGCTAACAATGTTTTATTCTTATTTTTTGTCTAGGAGCTATGGACAGTGAGCTTTAAAATCCTAAAATCAAAAACTGAAAGTGTAAATAAAATATGAATTTGGTCTCAGCAGTAATACAAACTCCATGAAAATACTCTTCGTGGGGGGTGTGTGGGGTGGAAAACACTCCTTAAATCACACTTCCTTAAATGGCTGTGTATTATCCACTAAAAAAATGCATACAGCAGTTTAGAAGAGATGATGCATGTTGAGACAAATATCTTTACAGCACTGAATGGGAAATCTTTAACTATGTGTCTGTCCTCTCGTTTGTACAATCTTAATGACACACAAAATGTGTGCAAAGTACTGTTTCGATCTCTGTATGTGCTCTGGATGAACCCCGAAGCCAAGTGATGTAAACATAATGTAAGGCACAACGAAAATAAACCAAAGTGAAGCCATATTACATTTTTAAATTTTCAGTATAATGATTAAATCAGTAACGCTCTACATATATAGAATTTCTGCTCCTTGCTGCATGTACCTAATGTTTATCCCCATTCTTAATGTGAGACACGTCCCACAATGTACAGAATGAGTTTGCATGTGCATTTTTTCAAGTGTCAGTGTTTAATACCTTCCTACTAAGATAGCTTAGCAGTGAGCACACATCTTTCTACTGGATATCCCTTGGGAATGGTACTCTACAGGAATATACCAGCCTTTCTGCAGAAACCATTGCAAAGCTGAACTAACACAATATGATTGCAGGTCTATTTTACCTAACCTTTATCTTTTTCAGAGGAAACATGGAAATGTTTTGTTAAGACTTAACAAACATAACTTTTGTTAAGCTAAATCATGGTTAAGCTAGGTCCTTTAGGAAAAAACATAATCTTTGATTTCCTTACCAAAAAAGAAAACTTAGTGAAAGAATAATAAAAAACATCCTGTTCTTATGTATAATTTTATTTTTATTATATTTATTTTCAGAAACTGTATTGAACCTAGTGTCAAGACAAGTAGATACTTTTGAAAATTTTCTACTAATATAGTTTTTTAATCAATTAAAGCAATTGACTCAAAAATGAAACTTATTTTTTTACAGATTTTGAAATAACATATTTTCTTACATTCTTTGTAACAGGTGGTTCTGCTAATCTAACCTGCCGAGCTTTCTTTGGATATAGTGGAGATGTCAGTCCTTTGATCTACTGGATGAAAGGGGAGAAGTTCATTGAAGATTTAGATGATAGTCGAGTCTGGGAAAGTGACATTAGGTAAAAGAAAAAGCTTTTTTTTTTTTTCTTTTTTACTCTATATTTTTGTGATACTTAATGTAATACTTTTTATCACAGACTAACTCAGGAGTACTTTGGGTCTGATCCCTTTTTGCAACATCCATATTTAATCTTTTTGTCTCCACAAGTAGAGAATAGAAAAATGCACTACTCAGCCAGATCTGATATTAGAGAGCTGCAAAAGCAGAATAGCTACCCAAAAAGTGTTGTAGTGTTGACCAACTGGAATTTACAGTGGCTTTTTCAAACTGTGACAGTCCACAATAAAAACCATTAAGACACTTAGTAAGATGAAATAAAGAAAAATAAATACATCAAGAAAAACAGCTCAAAAAGGCATTTTCAAACATAGAGCCTTAAAGAAATGCTGAAGTCTGACTTCCCTTTTGGAATATTTTGATTTATTTTCTTCGTGAAAAAAACTTGATTTTTCAGGGATGTTATCTGGCCTGTGAGAGCCAAGCATCCTGTTATGTGGGCTGCTTGTATCTGCTGAAATACTGCCATTTGTGTCTTGTACTTCTACTGCTCCTGGAAGTGCTACCTCATTTGGAAATTAAGGAAAAAAGTGGGTTTGTGTTGAGAATTGCATACTTGACATGACATACCAACTCCTATCCAATATGAAGCATCTGCTCCGATCTGAAGGGATTCCTTTTTCATTTATAATTCTGTATGTGTGTATATCACTGAGTTTATCATGGATAAACCCAGAAATAAAGGCACATCTAAATATGCATGTCATGGTTTAACCTTAGATAGCAACTAAGCACCACACAGCAGCTCACTCACTCCCCTCTTATCCCCCTCGCGTGGGGAGAAGAATCAGAATAAAAGTAAAGCTTGTGGGTTGAGATAAGAACAGTTTAAAAATTGAGACAAAATAAAGGATTATAATAATATCAATAATATTAATTGTAATAATAAACATATATTACTAATAATAATTGTAATGAAAATGAGAGAAAGAGGAATAAAACCCAAAAAAGACAATATAATTGCTTACCACCCACTGATCAATGCCCAGCCTGTCCCCAGGTAGTGATCCACGGCTCCTGGTCAACTACTTCCAGTTCATATACTGGGCATGGCATCCTATTGTATGGAATAACCCTTTTCCCAATTCTGGTCACTTGTCCTGGCTATGTTCCCTCAAAACTTTTTTGTGCATCTGCTCACTGGCAGAGCGTGATACTGTGAAAAGTCCTTGACTTAGGGTAAGCACTGCTCAGCAAGAACTAAAACATTGGTGTGTAATCAACATTATTCTCATACTGAATTCAAAACAATACGCTGTACCAGCTACTGAGAAAAAAGCTAACTCTATCCCAGAAAACTGAGACAGTGCATTACAAAGGAAACTAAGAAATCATGGATGTGTTATCTATAGTGATTGTCTATAAGAGAACAAAATTAGCCTATTTTACTTCACTTCTTACATGGATATTTACAGTGTCAACAAAAGACATGAAGTCAGGCTCAGTTTCAGCTTAACATTGGACTTCTTCAGTGTAACCAAAGTAACAGAAACATTCCCTTTAACAAAATCAAGAAGACCACCTTGATATTCAAGGTCATCATTACCAGATATAGGCAAAATGGAAACACATTTCACCCCTGTGTATTTCGAGGTCAAGATTGATACACTAAATGGCATGTGACACTCAGATCAGATATTTTGCATCTAAAGCTTTTCCCAAGCCCTTCTGCCAGTGACTTGGCTTTCTGATGACTAACAAAAAGGTGAAAAGAACTCTGTTACAACTTTCTTGTTTTGTGGAGGGAGGAGCAGAAAGGCTGGTTTCCACTTCTTACGTCAGGCGTGATATGAGGGAGCAGCCTGGAATAATTTGTCATTTGCTTTCTTGGGTTCCTAAAACCACTGACGGTCTTGCTAAGAAGGAAAGATAGTAATGTGAAGACAGGTGGAGTCTTACACAGGAAGTCTTTTATTTACCATCTGTATGAACTAGAGGCATCTGGCATACCAGCTCTTTCTACTGTTTTATAATACATAATCAAATCTTATACTGCATTCTAGAAATAATCTCTCAGACCATGTCATGAACATATTATTTCTGAGTGGCACATTGAAAAGCCTCAGAAAAAGCACAAATACTGTGTTTGGCCCAGACTCCTAGTGTGACTCTAAACCCCAAAACAACAGTTTTCCCTTTTCTTTCTTGTCACGTTCCAAGACTTCATGGATCAGGGTCTCCATCAGAGTGTGCAATGATATATTATCAGTGTGCATATCATTTTGCTTAAAGAAGACAATGAACTGAAGCTCTCATTAACATTTACAGAACCAATCCTCCTCATTAGAAGTGAGGAAGAAAAGGGCATGACAAAATTTGATTAAGATTGCATCAAACCATAACCAAGTTTGAAGCCAGGGAGCTGTAGGTTGTAAGCAGCATTATTATGTCATGGTTATCCAGTGCTCCACTATGACACAAGTGGAATAGTAGTGATGGTTGGTTTTTTTTCTCAGGGTTCTCAAGGAACATCTCGGGGAGCAGGAGGTTTCCATCTCATTGATTCTTGACTCTGTTGAAGAGGCAGACCTGGGCAATTATTCATGCTACGTCGAGAATGGAAATGGGCGCCGACATGCCAGCATTCTTCTACACAAAAGGGGTAAATATGCAGCTTTTCTCCATGAAATGGTAAAATGTAGGGGAGATCCATTTTTTACAGAGCTTCTTTCTGATGCAAGCATGAATTTTGGCTTCCTAAGAACCAATAGTCAATTATTATTTTCCCCTAGGAATTTGTACAGCTTGAAAAACAAAACAGAAAGGATGTTGTTAATTATGGATGCCACTGGAAAAAATACAGTAACACCTTTTAATTATATCTCTATAAAAGATGCATTTAATAATTCCTTAGTTTTGAACTTAATAAAGGCTCAATAGAGAAAAATAGTAGGAAACAACAGCTAATACAACTGCAATAATTTTCTGTAAGAAATAAAATCAATTATTTGCAAAACCAACAAAAATACATTCCACTTCTATCAGAAATGCCACCTAAACCCCATGCCAGGAGAGTTCCTTCATTGCCTAACTGTGGACATTTTCCTTCTAACACTTTTGTTTAACATCAACATTTCTGAAGTGAAACATCATGACAGAAACTTCTGAGGACCTTCCTGTTTCTCCTCACCACTCACATCCCATGATTCCACCCTGCCTAATAGCCACGGCCATCTCCCACAGAGATGATTACAGAGAGATGGAGAATCTCTTGCAAATCAAGGCTCCCAGCCCCATTTTGTCCACTTTACCTCTCAGAGGGTGCTCCACATGCCTGGGATTGACACTCCCTACCCTCAAGCAGCATCCCGCTGGCCTAAGAGAACAAAGAATGAGCAGGAGCAGTGTGTGCACTTTGGTGTCATTACTGTGCTTTTTTTAGATTGCTTGTAAAGGTGAGCAAACCAGGTTCTTATTGTGGTGCTGAAGTACTTTTGGCATCTCAGTTTATATCAGAGCAGTGATGTCTTCCCTAAATTTACTTTCGTAGCATGCAAAGGCTGTCTAAGTTTAGAAGGAAACTATAAATCAAGATAGTGTGACCAAATTATTTAAACATATTATGTACCTCCAATTAATTGAATAGAACTAATCTGTAGCCATTTTTCTGAACTCGTCATTTTCTTGAATTCACTTGCCACATTTTCTTGAATTCACTGAGATAAGAAACTAATATATTGAAACTAATAATTGAACCTCAACAATATACCAGTTACTAGTCATATATTCCTCGTTCAGAGACATTTGAACCTTGGATCTTAACCCAAAACACCACTGACATCCAATGGCTTGTCCTTAATAATTAAATTAGTTGATGAGACACCAAAAATAAAGAATTTTTAAGGCTTAATTACTTGAAAGGCTTTTAAAGGCTTTAAATTACTTTAAAACCAATACTTAATTGACATGATGAATCCTTATTTTCTCTTCCATACAAGCAGTATCTGCAACACTGACAACACATACTTCTTTTCTGTTCTGTGACCACCAGATTTTTAATCTAACAGTGTAGGCATGAATTTTGAAAGAGTCTGCTTTCCTTGTTTCCTTTTTTGTAGAACTCAGTAAGTCAAACACACCACAGTATGTGCCCTCATGATGACATACTTCAGAGGAAATAATCTCAATATTTAATTGCCCTTATGAATAGTAAAATGATAAAAACAGCAAAAAACCTCCCCAAAATATTTTTTTCCTCTTTAAGTAAAGCTGAATCTGAAATTGATTTGGAAGCACAGTCTGTTGTGCCCTCAAAAAACAAAATGTACCTGATACAAGCCTTCTACACACTTTGCATGTTGACAACTGTTTCAGTGAAATGATAAATTAAGCATGACAGATAAAAATTTGAGCTAGTCTCTGAGGTCTCCTAGGAAGAGAAGCTTTACACTTCTTGCTTAGTCTTCTGTATATCACCATGACAACCTTTCGGTTTAGGTTTCCTTGTTTAGATCCACATTTAGTCTCTGCTAGGAATGAGTTAGCTGTTTATTAATTTCTGATTATTTGGCTGACTTAGAACAATTGGGACCTAACAATTAGGAAAATTTGCTTCCTGAACACTAAGATATTTGCAGAGTATTAGTTTTGGCTGGTTTTCTAGTTAGTGATCTTTTTTTACCAGCAGTATAAGTCAACAAAGGTGCTGAATCTGGAATGTTCACTGCATACCTGAAAAAGAAATTATAATCCTTCTTAAACTTCCTCTGTGGAACATTATCACCAGGATCAGAAGGGACAGCAAAGCAGAAAACTCTGCTACTGAACAAAAAGCATTCCCGGGAAAAGAGGTATTTAGGGCTAAACGCTGCAGTGGGGATTCAGGTACAAAGTTTAAGCCTTTCAAACACCCTTGCAACTGCTGCTTCAACCTGGTCAGTATAGTCTCTGTAAACTTAAAAGTCCAGGGGGAGATTTTAGAAATACCTACAATTAACAGGCCCTGAAAGGGCAAGAAGTCCAGAGTCTAACTCACTAGCAAAACCCTGAATGCATCTTCCTTAATCTTCCCACTCGTCAGCCCAGCAGGAACACACACTCTCCTCACAGAAACCACAAGCAGGATCCATCAAATGGTGGTCCCTATCACAAACCAGTGCCTGGCACATTCAGACGGAGAGAGGGGGCTTCTGCTCTTTCCCTGACGTGGTACTGGAATGGATAGCCAGAGCCTCTCCTTTCCCGAAATCAATTAATTTCAGGAAGGGAGCAGAACATAATGCCCCCAACTCCAACACCACTTGTGCAGGAAAAGTGAACCTCGTTTCAGCATCCGGCACCGGGAGAAGGCTGGAACGCCTCGTACCTCCCTCTAGTGTGGACACCGGTGCTCTGCATCTCGGGGAGCTGAGCCCTTATTTTCTCCTGAGCTTCTTTTGCTTTCTGGTGCAAGTAGAGAAAGCCTATGATCTATGTTTTTCTGTTGCCAGCTAACCATTTTTAGACTCCTAAATTTCCTCAGATGCTGTGCATAGGGAGCATTTAACTCGAAGCTAAAGGCAGTAGAGCATTTTAAGCATGACAATGAAAATGCTGTTTCCTTTTCTTGTTCATTCCTACAAAATTTGTCCAATAGATAATCAGAAAAAGAGAGGGATCAGAACTCAGGAGATTTAACTCTCATTCCTTTCCTCCAGCTTTTGACCAAATCCGTTTCACCTTTACAGTAATCAAGTTTTTTTCTCTTTTGTCTAAGAAAAAAAAATCTACTTGTTATAATCTAAGACTGATTTTGTTACTTACTGGTGATAGCTACCATCGATCATCTGTAGCAGTTCAGGCTAATCTTCATCCAGGTAGGGGAACCTTCTAGAAATTAATTTTTAGAGTGATACTGACAGCAGCTAAGCACAAATTTATTAATAACAGACCACATATTGAAAATAAGATGTGGTGGATCACACACTATAATTCTATTTTTTTCCATTTTTTTTCAATTAAAGAAGAAAAGCCCGTAGTCTATCAATGTAGTAGATAAAAATGTAATGCATAAGGAAAAAGAATGCTCTTCTGCATTTTTATATATTGACAAGTATGTCTTCCATGCTGGATCACTGTCCTCGTAGTCTCATTTAATCATAGAGTGTGTTGTAAATACAGAATATTATCTAATTACGTGATTATTTTCTGGAAATTCTTCTCTGCATGTCTGCAAGCAGAACTCTAAAGCAAAATAATGTCAAATATTATTTTGTCATTATTCTTGAAATAGTATTGATATTATTTTAAAAGCTTAGTAATATACCTGTATTTTTCCTGGGACAGACACCAGAACTAAGAGCAGGTAACATACTTTTATACATTTTTTTCAAAGAATCTACTACTATTTCTTCCCATTTTCACAGTATTATCTGATTTCCTATCCAGGGCTTTTATATTTTGATTTGTTTTCCCCTCTCATAGGTGTTCTCAATGGACATATATGGATTTTGTTGACTATGAGTTAATGAAGAATAGTTAAAATCAGGGGGTTTTTTCCTATCAGGACAAAAAACCCCATATTTTCACTGATACATATTGTTTAGATAAAGAGATTTAATCTGAAATTGCCCATGAGAATATACATTTGAAAAATATAGAAGTTAATATTTCCTAGATGGAATGTGTATTGAGGAAACAAGTAGGTAGACATACTTTGAACTCACCACTTATTAGTGCATAAACATCATATTAATATTTCCTGTACAATATAATGGTAAATTCAGAATAGAAAGTAATTCTGAGTTCTCTGGTTATTAATGATACTGAATTACTGATAAGCACCTTAAATTACAGTGTCATTCACGTAATAGTGTAAATCTGGTTTATTACTGAAAGACTTGAATGTGCTAAGTTTTTGATCTCATGAGCATTTTCAATCACTAGGACATGATTTCACACAGTGATGAGTGACAAGACTTAAAAGAGAAAAGAAACTGGTTCTTTTCTAACCTCTACAAAGAAACTGCAGGTGTTATTTCTCACTTTCCACAAGGCTTTACAATGCTGCTGAAATTTCTGCATAGAAACTCAACACGTGAAATATGAGAGCAGTGAGCCTTATATTTCAGCTTCTGTTACTTGGTCCTAATTACTTGACCATTGCAGCAAATCTCAATGGAAGCAGAACTGTTGTAGAGCTCTGATCCACTTGGTCAGTTAAAACTTACACATGTATATCTTCCAGTGTATAAAGCCTTCAGTTTTCATTCTACACTGCGGGAAAAGCTTTTCTGAGATCCTCAACGGCTTTTAGAATTGGAATTGAAATTGGGTTGGACTTGATGGAAATTGATTTTTCATCCACCTATGTCCATTGAAGAAGTCTTTGGGTTATCACTGTGCTCAGCAGTGCAAAGGTTTGTTCACTCAAGAGGTTCATGACATAGGACCAAAAGCCAAATATCAACTCCCTTCTGTCCCAAATCTAACCAAAAGTGACTGTTCTTTCTACACTCAGTCTCATCTAAAATCAGTCAAGGAAGAAGAATACTAGAGACCTCTGCTTGACAGAAACTCTTCATAAGACCATTGTCTTAATCAGTAAGGTTTTCCTCATCTCATAGAAAATTGTACTAAGACAATTCCAGTAAGAAGGTTAGTAAGATTACTCAGCACGTTCCT